AAGAGATATTTTTTAGGCATCTGGATGGTCACCATCACCAAAGCGTAAGTTGTTACAAAGTCACACACATATTAGACTGTAAGGAGAAAATAAATTTTGCACGAATGTTCTTTAATACACTTCCCACTACAGATAAAGGTGGCATACCCAAATAATACTAAGAGCAACATTTGTTTTATGAATAAATCATTTAACAAACAAACCGACAAATTCTGTGTTATTCTATGGGAAACATAAGTTAGCTTCAGGAGCTGGTATTGCTGCTTGTCTACTTTTTCTGTAGCCAAACAACTTTACCTTTGATTTGTCAACAGGAGCTGTTTCATAGAAAATCAAATGTTTGTATATATGAGTATGTCCAAAAAGGGAATTAGTTTTATGTGATGCACTTCCTTTTTTACATAAATGAAATGATAATATGTAAAAATGTGTTAATAGCATTAATATTGTGTCCTACGTGTGCCACAGTCTTGTAGAAGAGCTGCGACTTCATAACCCAGACTTCCCCGACATCAGTAGTGGAGTTTTGGTGCGGCAAGTCATACCTAACACTCCAGCAGAAAAGTATGCTCACACACACCTGCAAAAAGTACACACACACACACACACACACACACACAAATGATATCACCCTGTTTCATACTTCCAGAAAGTGATTGCAGATTTATGGACAATGATGTCATTATAAGTCTGAATCTTCTTTTTCTCTTTCTGGCACGCTTGTAGTAAACGGTTGACTCGAGTTTCTTTTCTTTTCCATGTCTTTAGAGGAGGGATTAGGGAAGGTGACGTTATAGTGAAGTTGAACGCAAAGCCAGTCAGGACCACTGAAGACATCCATGAGGTGTTGCAGAGCGACCAGCCACTCCTACTTGAGATTCGCAGAGGGAACGATGACTTACTCTTCAATATCCACCCACAGCTTTTGGTACATTGAAAACTGGGAGAATTGATATCTTTTAGTTGTGAAGAGGCAGGACTCAATATGTCCAGTACTGATTTCTTACTAAAACAAGAGAACGGAAAAGAGCAGTTCCTTTCCCAACTAGCCTGATGATGTATGCTTTGGTAGAGTTTGAAATACTGTAGTTTAACACAGACTTCAAAATACAGCTCAGTAGAATCCAATGCACTGTATATTTAAGGCGCTTTAGAATAAAAGCTTCCAAGAAGGATCTGTGCAGTTGTGTGTTTTTCTGTCTAGTCTGTTCAGCAGCTGCTTTCCAGAAGGCAGGTTCCATTCCTTTGTTTATGTCTTCTCATCCCTCCTCCATCCTCTCTCTCGGAAAGATTTTCTCCTAATTTAAACAAACCTAAGTCAACACCTCCACATACGGAACACAGACACTATGAGTAAAATCCTGTTACAGGGAAGAGCTGGTTGTATTCTTTCCTGTTTTGGAAATGAAAATCTTCAGTCACAACATAACCTGAACTCTTAAGCCTGAAAGTACTTATGCGAAAGCCAAATTAAATTAAGATGGCAGAAAAATATCTTTCAGTAGCTTGACATTTTGCACATACTACATATATGCTTATACTTTTGAATAGTGTTGTTTTGGTTTATTTATCATTCTAAAAGCCTTCCTCCATGCTGAAATGACCTCAGCAATGACCTTGTAACCCACTTGAACTCCCTGTAAGTCCACACATCATAAACTGCGCCCAGACAGAAAACCCTTCCTGTTTATTTAAACAAAGACTCTGTCTGGTTACCGTTGGCTGGAACAAGCAAAGAGGCCAAGGAAGCAAAGACAAACTGGAAGAACAAAAAGGAAAGACAGGCTGCTGGGCTCACAAACAAGAAAAACAGGGAGGAAATGTAGCTAATAAGTGACTCCTGCTGTGAACAAATAACTACCATTTCAGCAGGTCCTCGCAGACTGATTTTAATATAGTTCTCTATGCTGCACTCAGCGTGTGACTTGATGGAGCAGTTGTTGGAGTGTGGGCAGCGTTTTCTAGTCTCGCCAAGACAGATTGTTATAGCAGAGCGCCAGACTACTTCAGTAAGGCAGACAGAGGACACAGCTGTGTCCACACAAAAACAATATATCTAAGCCCACACTAAATATAAACTTTCACTCAACAACAAAGGCCATGTGTTTTTACAGTAAAGCCAGAGTTTTACAGATATCTCTGCATGCATCTAAAGCACAACATATACTCTTCTGTACACTGTTTGTACTTTAGATTAATGCGTTCCCTATGCAACCCAGTCGACGTGTTGCCATCTAGAGGCCAAATATAGTTTAGTTTGAAATAAACACAATTTATGATTCCCAAAGAGTCCACTAGATGGCAGGTGGAGAATAAAGAATTTCCTCCCAACGTGGCAATTGCTCAAACGCTCATCTTAAAGGACTGCTGCACTATCGAAGTCTATATATAGCTCTGGTTTCTGATTGCATCCTATTGCACTTAAAGCAGAAGAGACAGTTAAACATTTCAACAGCACGTAAGACTGTCAGAGAGACAATCGTGCAGATGGAACTATTTTATTTATTGATTTTTGATATATAAGGTTTTCATAATATACAACCTGGATATCTCTAGGTGTATATTACCTCTCGCCCTGTGACACTTGGGATAGGCTAGGGATAAGAAAATAAGAAAATGGAAGGATAGATGGATTCCAAGTGTGAATCATAGTGCTAAAAACAATATAGGGATAATGTCTCATTTTCTATAAACAAAAAGAATTCTTTATTAACCTCGAGACATCACATGGGTGTAAAACATCCCATTTTTCCTCTATCCGATCCAAAGATTGTGCTTTTAAGATGTGGAAAAAATAGTTGATG